GGCTGTGGTCAGAGGCATTTCCTTGATTTTACTGTGAAGTTCTTGGGTCAGCCCTGTACTGTACATACTTCTGACCCCACAGCTGTAGACACGACGTCAGCCCCTCAGGAATGTGCTCTGTGATTAATGATGAGACTTTATGGGGGAAATAGACTTCTTATATTTAAAGATCCTATATTATGCAAAACTCTTATGAACTTTAAGCCATGTTATAATGTTTTTACCTCATCAGAAACATACCTGGAGTTGTGTTTCATTCACACGTGTTCAGGAAAGAGTTTTGAGTAACTCTTTATTTTTCTCTCTACATCTCCTAAGCTCAGCATGCTCCATACCACCTTGTGATGTCATGTAGCTTTTTCAGTTTTCAAGGTAATAGCTACTGTTATGGAAAAAAATTATACATTTCTTGATGATAAATAATTAATCCATTTGCAAATCCCAATGAGTTTTGGAATATAGACCAAGGTTTATTCCTGTTACAGCAGATGTGGACATGGCCTAGACCTGCTCTGGCCAGAGACCAACAACCTCTCCTTCCCAGCAGTATGTCCCTTCTCCGTTTGACCCGAGTCTCTCCCCAAGTATCTGCCCTAGAGCATCTGAACTCTGAGTATTTATACAGAAATACAAGTTACATACATATCAAAGCAGAGTAAGTTTTGTTTCAGAGGCTGGTGCTAAATTAACATACCGTACATTTGAGGACAGCTAAGACAATACATTGTTACCTGTGGGTGGAGACAGTTGTGTCTGCTGAGTCTTTACACGTGTTAATGACTGATCTGGGTCTCAGGTACAAATCACATTCATTTACACAAGACAGATTGAGAGAAATCTGTCCACAATATGAATTTCCATCACAGCTACATTTTATCTTTTGTTAAGCAGATATTGGCAATTCCAGGCTGAAATCATCCAAATGAGTCTAGTTAAGTTGTATGGACTTTAAAAACACAATGGAGCACTAATCGTGTTACCACCTGACATCACAAGGTGGAACATAGTGTTTTCTATTTGAGAGAAGAATTCAGCCTGTAAACATCCAGGGTTTCTATGTTAAACATGTGTGAATGAAACAAAACACAACTCCAGGTATGTTTGTGCTGAGGAACAACATTATAACAGAGCAGAAAATAGCATAATATGGGCCCTTCAAATGTGCACTACATCATTTTTTCTCTTTAAGGGTCTGCTTGTCTCCATGCTATTACTTTGCCTGGAATGTTCCACGGTATTGCATTTAAACCTATCTATCTTCATGGAGACAAGCCTTTGACACCATATGGCCATCATATCTGTGGAGAGGCAACCTGAGAAGTCTGTTGTTTCTGACTGTACTGCACATAGCGTGTTTAGCTCATGCTCTATCTCGTATTTTTTGATAAATAAATTAATGTGGTCACACTTACGGGAGACAGAAGGGAAAGAATGCAGACTCTGATGAAGTGAGGGCTTAGACACTGTAACTGCTGTAACTGTGCCAGTGCTTAGTCATGAACACAGCTGCACTCCAGCTCTCCCTATGATCTCGAAAGTAAGACATGCTCTGAAGTCCTCTCATCCTCTGAAACTGAAATGCAATAAGTACAACCACAGAGTATAATTGGCCTTCTGAGTACTACCAGATCTAAACCTGGTCTATGACAGGGCTAAACCAGATGTAAAGTACTACCAGGTCTAAAATACTACATCACGACTACAATCATTCTTAAAAAGGAGTAATCCAAGGAAGGACAAATTTCCAAACTATTTATGGTTTGCGATGTTCTGGGAACGTTTTCTGAACAGCACTGTTTTTTATATCAATGTTGATCAGAAATTATATTTTGGTAACAAACAGTATGAGCTGCAGTGTAATGTTGTTGATTAAAATTTCACACTCAGTTCTGATGACAAAATTCTACATACCAATTTGGATACCCCCAATGATTTAAAAATACTCTTTTTTTCATACTATACAAAGTCATTTTTAACACAAAATAAAGCTACTCTTTAATATTATCAAGTGTTTTTATACAAGTTCTGATATAGAGCAAATCCATGAGAAAGGTTCAATCTTTGTCGAGTTAATGCCATTTCTTTCAGTACTGACACCGGCTCAAATGAATATCTAATGTTTTTTGTGTCCATTAGTACCTGGGTATTGATTTTTCACAAGTCTTGCAGAGAAATCCCCTGCTTTCTATCAGCCTAAACGTCTTAGACACTGTTTTCTGTTTGTTGGTTTAGCCTGTCTGTAAGCTGTCCACTCCACTGCTCTTTAAATTCACTCAGCCCCTCTCCTAATGTGGTTACTCGGGACTGTTCCTGACTGCTTTAGCCCACTGCTGCTGCTCTGATTGGACATGATGGATTGCGACACAGCGTCTGTATTTGTAGAGCCACAAGCACACTGTGAGGTCCCCATATTTCAAAGGCTCCTGCCAAATGTTTTGCATTGTATTGTCTGTGTTAGTCCAGACTTAAAAGTGCAGGACAAAGTCATAAATAATAAAAAGATGGTGTGATATGAACTAGAATGCTCAATATAAAGACCATGGGATATACACAATTTAACAGGGTGCAGGTCTGTTATTGGGTATATTCCTGCTAGGTAAATAGAACTACTTGCTTGTATGATTCCTGAATGTGATATTGCTGATACTATAGCCGCTATAACTAATACCACAGACAGTAGCTCAGTTGGTACACTGTTTATTCACTTATCCAAAGGTTGGCAGTTTGAGTCCTGTTCTCAATCCATTGACTCAGAGGTTGATGGTGCAATTCCAGCTTCCATAGATAAATGCTGTCATTTTGTTCTTGGGCAAGACACTTAACCCACCTGTGCATATGCTGATGTATGACTGTGTGTCTGAATGGGAAAGTAGTTCCTTGATGTAAAGCGCTTTGGTAGAGAAGATCTTTAATCAAAATGTGCCCATTTATTACACCAGACTTTTGGCATGTATGAATGTAACAGTCTAATAAGGGCCGTATTAAAAACTAGCTTTGAAGTGTTTAAATATATCTATGCTTTGACAAACCTTTTCTACTGTGTATGGTAAGATCTAAACTGCATGTTTTCATAGTTTGATTCTTTATTCTCTATCTCCAATAGTTATTACTGCTGCAGTTTTGTGTATTTGTTGTGAAATATATTTGTCTTGTCTGTAAATAAACACATTATATACTTAAGTATCATAAAATAAAAAATATAGGCCTGTCACTATAACAAATTTGGAAATGTAATATATTGCTGATGTAAATATAGACAATAAATGATAGTATAGTAGCTAAACCATAAAGCAGAAATATCCCCTCAAAACTATTCTAAATATACAAAATTGTAAAAAAAAAAAAAAAAAAAAGCAAGAAATAAATAACACAACGCACTACAGTACTGCATCTATAGAATTTCATTTAATTCCTTCTATAGCTCAAATGTGATCGTAGTACAGAAAAAATAACCAAAAAGAAATGTTCCCACAAGTACAAAGAAGACGTCCATTTATATGTATTGAACGATAACTTGATATACTGTAGTATTTATCGTGACAGGCCTAGAGTGCTCTTCTGTCCTCCTGCTCGCTCTCTCCTTATCTCAGTTTTTGGTGCCCCCCGCGGTGCCTCGTTGGCTGCCTTTTTCCTGCCACCATCTGCCTCTTCATCCTTTTCCCTTTTCTCATCTTTCCTTTGGCCCAGTTTAGCTCTGTGTCCCTCCCATTCCCAAACATTACTTACGTGTGGTGTGACGTACAACTACTGTGTTTCCCATGTACTGTAAATTTGATATATTTCTATTACGATGAGCAAAATTTGTATTAATTGACTAATTATTTTATTTTAATTTTAAGGATTTATGTCAATAGCAGTAAGAGCATGTTATGCAGAGAGTTGGAAGTGAATGGATAAGAGTGAATAGCTTTATCCTATATTTTTCTGTATATATAGTTGATTTTGCTTGAACTTCAGTACAGTTGTAGTCTTGATAGTGCAGTCTTGGTCAGATAATATAGATTAGAGAGATATTTAATTGTTTTGAGTGTTTTGCCTGCCTCCCTTTTTAGTTAACTAATCTATCGGTAAGAAATGTCTTTCCTTTACTTTGTTTCATTTACTACAGGCCTATGATAGCTGTTTGTCCAAGCATTCCTTTTATTACCCTAGTTATATGACACCATAACATACCCAATAAATTTTTAGAGTTCCTATTCCAAGGTGAGTTATAATGTGTAATGTTTAATATATATCGGAGTCAGACTAGGTCACGTATAAATCACTGACACTATTCTGAGTTACATCATACCCCTATTAATTTTTAACCAACATTACATAACTTACCAGGATTTTCACTCATAGGCTCCTCTGCCACTGCACTGCTGCAAATTTTTTTGTATCTGTTGTATCTTGGCATTGATCTATTCCATACACTATTTATAAGACGTGTTGAATGTGAACTGCAAGAGTCAGTCGTATGCAGAAAAATGTCTTGTCAGCAAAAAAAAAAATTCAATTTTTCATTTGTTATGGTAGGAATCCTGCATAATAAGGCTGTATATTGGAATACAAGGTTACATCATAGATAATCCACTTCTGTCTTATTAGCTTTCCATGAAGTTTCTATATTACCCAAAACTGACACTTAAAACCTTTAAGCTTTCAGTTTTCGAGAAGAACTCAACCTAAATATGCAGTGTTTGTGTGTTAAACTTGTGTGAATAAAACAAAACACAACTCCAGGTATGTTTGTGATGAGGAAACAATGTTATAACAGAGATCAGAAAATACGCCTGTTTAGATTACTATACTGTTTTCTTTGTGGCTTCTTTCCTCAAATGTCTTGATATAAGGGTTTCAGTGAATAGCCATGCAGGCAGTAAGCATATCTTTTAAAACAATAGTTCTTTCACTTTTTTCATGGAATACTGCCATTGGAAAATACTGCATGTTTAATCTTAATTTCTGGAAAAAGTTACACAGTGTTAAAAAGTAAATTTAACTTGTTTTTTTTTCAGCAAGGAGTTCCTGAGTCATCACTACACAGCATTCTGGGAAACTCCGGACCCCTCTCCATGGGCTACACCTCCTGCTGACAGACCAGGGCCAACCGGAGGGAGCTGGTAAATGAGGTGAGGAGGACTCCTATGGCAAGATCAAAGCATGTTATCTTCAATGCATTACCCAGAACATTATGACCACTGTGTACTGTCTGCATTTGATAACTGATTTTTTATTATCTGTGAACCAGGAAGTTACCCTTGTGTGCTGTTAACAGGCTAGTCGTTGTTAGTAGTGGCGTGAGGTGAGGACAAAACTCTGCTTTGGTCTCTGAAAGTTGTGAAAACGCTTATAAACTCATCATGTTCAGTAATTAAAATGCTAAGAATGAGTTAACAACAAAGGTGGGGACTTGTATGACTTGGACTCGAGTCAGACTTGAGTCACTATTTTTAGGACTTGAAACTTGACTTGATAAAATGGACTAAGAGTTGGGACTCGACCTGGACTTGAAGGTCAGTGACTTGGGACTTGACTCAGACTTGAGGCCTCTGACTTGAGAAGACTTGAAAAGCAGTTTTGAATCTGAATTCTTTCTATTCTGACCCATTATGGTTACAATAAAGAAAAAATTAACTAAATTCATTTCTATAACCCTTATATACTCTATAAATACTCATATACTGTATAAATATACTTTGTTTTAAGGGCAGTTTATCTTAAAATTCATATAAATAGCAAAAATCTATCTATCTATATTTGGTACTTTGGTTTAAAGACTTGAAATGACTTGAAGCTCAAAGCAGATGACTTGGACTTGACTTGGATTTATGGGCCAGTGACTCGAGACTCAACTTGGACTTGCCTGTATTTGACTTGGGACTTGACTCGGACTTGAGGTCAAAGACTTGAGACTTACTTGAGACTTGCAAAACAAAGATTTGGTCCCACCTCTGGTTAACAATGTAAGAATTTGTAAGAATGTTTCAAATTGTTACTGTTAATTAACATACCATTACACTAGCTATAAACCAAAATGCAGTTAGTTATCAGTCTGTAAATATCTTTAACTTGGCAATATTAATTCTGCATTGAAATTTTGTTTGTCATTGAACTTGTCAGTCCTGGTATATTCATATTTCAATGTTTATGTAAGAAGCGGATGATCTTTGTGTATTGCAAAAGAAAAAAAATAGATACATTTTTTCTCATTTCAATTTGGAAAATTCCTTGATGTTCCAGATTGCTCAACACCTTTAACTACATGCTAGTTGGGGTCTTCCTGTGAGAATGGAAACCGCACTGGCAGTACTGGAAGTGTGAATAAATGCTCTATAAATAACTATAACAGCTTGTAGTGTACCAGACATTCTATTCATTTTCTCTTATCTGAAGTGAAGTAGCTGCTGCCTCTTTGATTTTCCACCATGTTTTGTAGTAATATTGATTCCCTGAAAGAGAAACATGTATTCTTTCAGCCATCTCTTGGGGATGTTAAATCGCAAGGGTCAAAACAGCACCTCTTTGTGTTGTGGGCGATTGCTTTACAGAGTGCATTTCAGCAAAGCAAGCGCAACATTGAACTACGCGAACTCTAGCTTCTGTGGATTTGATGGATAGTCTCTCATTTCACTCTATGGCATGTTTGTGACTCATAGCAAATCAATAAAAATTCACACTAACTTTTTTCAAGCTCTCTGCATGATTGCTTTGGAGGTGTAGTTTTCCCTCGGGCATCCTTTGCACATTGTCTACCATAAGCAAGAGCGATACTGTATGATAATGTCGGATATTCATAGTGGAGATTTGGAGTCAGCTCAGAGACTGTCAGGATGCTAATTGGCAGGTTGTGTCTCGGTGCAGTAGTGATCAACCCACACATGCTGCTAATGTCTCATCATAGGATCATTAAAAAGTTTGTACGATTGCATTGTGCGCACATCAACAGCGTGTATATTGAAAGATAATAGGTTTTGTAGTAAACAAACACAAGACAAAAGCTATTGAGACAGTTTAGTGTAATATACAATGTAGCTAATAATGTTAAGCTAATATATGATTCAAAATACAATACAGAGAGTTGTTAATCATAGCAGGAGCTGGAACGTGGCGGATGCCTGGAGACTGCATGTTCTCCATGTGAGATTTCCTAACTCCAAAAACACACTTGTACTGGTTTGATCTTGGCCTAGTCCTGATGGAGACTTGGTTTGGCTCTGTTATAGTTCTGGTTTAGTCTTGCTTTAGTCCTGTTTCGATGTGGTGTGTGTGTAAGTGTAAATGCTGCTTTAGCAGCAGTAGCTCAGGAATTTTGTTGTACACACAGAGCAGGGGTCTTCAGCCTGTAGTTTGGGAGCTACCAGTCGCTCTCCACCCCCTTCCAAGTAGCTCGCCAAGGGATTTCTGAATCATAGATATTGTGCTGAATAACTATAATATTCAGTACAATATCTATAATATAAAAACTATTTACCATTGTAGTTATGCACTAATGGATATTGGTTTATGTTTTATAAGATTCAAACTGTACCCTATCTAAGGCTCACCATGACTCTTATACTTTCTCAATTTCTTGCAACCATTAAAATTAGTAGCTCTCTGGTATTTTTGTTTTGTAAAGGTAGCTCAGCATAAGAAAAAGGTTGGAGACCCATGACATAGAGTCTGTGTATACAACAAAATTACTGAGTCTATGTCACAGACTGTATAGAAGTGGATTAAGGGAACATGATGTCACACAGTCAAATGAAGCTCACCGAGGCTGGCAGTTGTAGGATGTGGAGCCAGTTACATATTAGTAATTTATTTACAGACTTATTAGCAAAATAAAAAGACCAGGATGGAAGCACCCCCATGCTCACTTCCTATTTGGAGCATACTGGGTAGCGGGTTAACTGTCCATTTATATACAGTCTATGGTTACACAACTTGAATGTAGTATACACTGACAAATAAAGCATATTGTTTTAATCAATTTGTTAATCTGAATAGCAAATACTGATCCACATTTAGCTGTATTTCCAGGCTTATTATTTTCAGACTGTTGGCATAAATCTAAGAAAAGAAAAGGCAGTGAAAGAAATGCTTTGCATTTATCATTGACCCTATAAATTGTGTTCTGACCCTATGCGTGCTGCTCTTGTCTGTGGAGACAGATGATGTTGGGACAGGGCCATGAAGTAGCCTGTTTTCTGTTGTCTGACATTTGGATCCTTGTAAGGGGAATAAGGGAGTGCCCCGCGGCGGTGTGTATTTGTCTTTTAAATATAGCCCTGTGAGTTGGCCAGTTATGCTTGAGTTTTTGTATGAATTGTAAAATAGCTGCCCCCCTGCTCCTCACACAAGCCGTCTCTGCTGTCGAGTTTAAAGTGTGATGCTGGTGGATGTGTGGGTGAGAAGGAGAGAGAAGAGTGCCGCTGCTATTCTTGGCGGGTTGGGGAAGTCTTGGCTCCCTGGCGTATGGGAAAAGTGCTCTTGGCAAGTGTTAGACCCAGGCATTCCATTATGCTGTCCTCTTGAAAAACACTACACATACACAAAAACTTGTCTCCTCGTCAATTCAAGACTCAGTTTGTATTGACTGGATTCGCTCTGTGGGGATCCAGGCACTCAAAAGACATTTACACTTCACCTTATACAATTCTACATGCAGTCATTCAAGACTTTTTTAATACAATTATGCTTTATTTGACACCAGTCTCTTACTATTTTTGCTACTTATTTTGAATTTATTATTACCCTTTACATTTTTGCTCTTGTTTTTATAATATCTTGTGATGTGTGAGCTGCTGTGTCCAAATAATTTCCCTTGTGGATGAATAGAGTTAGACTTAGACACACTTTACTGACAGGCACTAGCATCACACATGTCAGTACTATTACTTTTGTTTATTACTTATATACTACATACATGTCACCTAAAATGTACTGGCTTCATGGGTTTGCAGTGAATAGTAATTTATGGTAAATGGTCATGGTTTTTTTTTTTTATATATATATATAGCTTTTCCATCTTCAAGGCACTCACTTTACATAAAGGAACTGCTCATCCATTCACACACACATAGTCATACACCAGTGTACACAGACAATGAGGGCAAGGGGGTTAAGTGTCTTGCCCAAGAACACAACGATCTGTGGGACCTGTGGGTAAGTGTACCAGACCTCTTTACCAATGATGTTTATGTCTAGAGCGCGATTCAAACAGCCAACATTTATAAGCATCCATTTAGCAAATGTATTGGATGCACCTAGTGTAGAAAAGCAGTAGTGGTAGCAGCTGCAAGCAGTAGTAGTAAGTATTAGTGGGCACATGTTTATAGCTTTTACTGTTCATTAACAAAAAAGTTTAGAAACTATTGTATACACCATTACTTCTTCAGTAAATCACCACAAATAAGAGTGCATACCATCGTGAGTGAAAATATGCAGTTGTACAGTTGTTGATGCGTCCATATTTTAAAAAATTCATGCAGAGGAATGTGAGTAGGCTGGAATTTCCTTTCATCACAGCTTGTTTCGCCATGACTTTGCGTGTGTGGACATTAATAGTGTCTGCAATACCGATCTTGAAAAAACATGTTTCTGAGAAGTGACACAAGCAAGCAGGTCGGCATGTGTCCACTGTTGTAATGTCCCACACACATCATGATCGCTCTGAATGGTTGGCCCCTGTAATTCAATGTTACTGCCCCTGAGTGAATTGGAGATATGCAGTAACAGGCAGCACAGTCAAGGCCGAGAGATGGGAGAGATGTGGCCTGCAGGAGAAAAGAGTTTTTTACTGTACATTAATCTTTTCTTGTGGATGTTATTGCTTTGCTTGGAATGTTTCACAGTATGGTGTTACACTGATCTGCTTGTATCTGTTAAATCACTGGTGTTTTTTCTGAAAAAATATGAAATTAAAAATACTTTGAAAACCATCTCTCTAAAAGATCTCTACTGGAACTTGGAGATAGAAAAGTTACTGGAACATTGTAGACAAAGTAATAACATCTCTGAAGAAAAGCAGATGTAGAGCCTCTTTCACAAAAGTTACAGAAGTAATACCTTTAAAATGGGCTTTAATTTAGTTCAGAAGTTCAGGGTCATTTCAGATACAATCATCATCCAGATTGTAAACCAAAGT